TGAGATTGTGTCTGAAGGTGCATAGACTGTGTTTCCACCTTTCCTTCTCTGTTTCTAAGGATTCGTTTGCATCACAAGGTCACCAACAATCTTAAAAAAAATTAAACAAGAAAAAGCAACCCCCCCTTCTTGCTCTATGGCAATTCAAGTAACTTTTAATAACTATTCACCTAAAAATATCATTCTTGTGCTTTGGGACCCCCTTCACATGCATTCAAAAACCCTAAATTAAAAGTCAATAAAATACAATGCTGCTTGGAAAGAGCTAAATTATCTTTCACTATTCCAATACCAAAATCCAATTTTCAGGGTAACTTGTTTTCTAATGGAGATCCAATTTAAATTAAAATCTCTACAGAAAAAGTACTTGATTCAGGACCCAGTTCAGGAAAGGACAGTGACAGTATATTCTTATTTATAAACTGTAATGGGGACCTTGCTATAGTCCTTTGTGGTTTAGTGTGCAAAACTATGCCCTCTTCAGTCTAAAACTATTTAGRAATAAAAGCAGCTCAGCTTTACTGAAAGATCTGTAGAAACCCCTTCAAAAACATGAATTTCAGAAAGGAAAAGCAAATATCCATTTAAAAGAAATTAGCCCATGTTACAAATTAGAGATATTTTAAGATTATAAATATCAGAAGTATTTGGAATCAGTGCTGTTCAATACAGATGTTAAAATATCTAGCATCCTAAAACTATTTTATCCAAATAATTTTAGTGTTTTAACTTTTTTGTGTGAAGAAGTAGAATAGGAAGAAATGTAGTCTCAGAGTAACTTAGCCAAGATGAACAAACTCAGCACAGCAAAAGGATCTTACGACTTGTTCACAGACAGCCTGTCTTTCCCTTTGTTAAACTTTTCTTTTTTCTTTCCTCCGAAGTCCTTCCCATACACTTTGATAATTTTGATATTAATAATTTAGATAATTTCTAACGACTGTAATGATTTCTTCAGACAAATGAAAGTGAGAGAATTTCCCAAGATTTTTGAGCCTGATTGTTCTAGGTACTCTCAGAAAGGCTTGTAGAGCATTATGTSAATGTGAGGGAGGTCCCAAAAGCAAAGGCTGTCCCCTCCCAGCTTGTCCCCTCCTTCAGTGTCCAGGGACATCAACCCACTTGTGCCACAGAGCTCAAACCTACTCACACAGCACAGGTAACCAGGTCAGCTTAAGTTAAAACAAACAAAAATTGCCCAGCTAAAAAATACTGGATTTTCAAAATGGTTAAGTCACCCACATCCCTCTGCATATGTTTAAAATCTGATCCTTCTTGCTCTGCTGACAATAAGCATAAAAGTAACACTTTACAGATGTTGATAAAGTGATGCACCAGTAAGCAGATTCTCCAACTTGAGGTTGGAGCAGAGCTCTAAATTCTAGGTAATATCTTACAGCAGCAGGTCACTTGTATTAAGCACTAACAGAGCTTACAAGACCACAGCTTTTCAAATGTGTGTCAGACTTGAGAACKATCTTTTTTTACAGTACAAAGTATGTTATACTGCATAAAAATAGTCAGGCACACACCCACTAATCAAGAAAAAGTATTCTTGGCACATCCATTATGCAACTAACTTCCACAGTGTCTTCCAAGGATCTTCTCCACATCTCTCTCAAATTATAAAATGGGTCAAATGCACATGTCAGGATCAACATTATAATAGTCAGCACTACAAAATTTCACACAGTACAGTAAAAAAAATTACATTTAACAGAATTTGCATGAACTACCACTAGTGTCCACTTCATTCTGGAGTTCTCTGAGATTAACAAGGTACCTCACATGGGATGTCCTTATGTTCAACAGTGCAGGAACAAAATCATCATCTCTCAATGRCTTTTTCTAGATCTTGATAGAATCACTTGCTAAGCAATTAGCAAGGACAAGCCAGGTGCAGGTGGAGGACAAGTTGCAGACTAAGATCTCACCTTTCAAGAATTACAAAAATATACTCTTTTTTTTTGCTATTTTACCAGAGAAGCAAAGGAGAGATGAATGCCCTTTCAAGRCCAACAATATATCTTTGTATTATAGCTCTTCACACAACATTTGTCACACACAAGCAGAACAGAGAAATGCTCAGGCCCATGAGTTTACTTGCATAGAAGTAATCATTAATTAAACCCTACAAGTTCAGGAATTTTAATCTGGATAGTGGGACCTTTGTGCTGTGCCTGTTTAGGTGGAGTCCAGGCACAAAAGGCCAATAACTGCATTTGCTTTGTCATTTGTCATGTCTCCATGGCTTTCTGGTCAGTGTCCATAGTCTCCAACATCCAACTATGCTCCCYGTAGATTGTTCAGCAGGGAGAGCTGAGGACTGGGCTGATGCTTTCATATCAGCAAAAAGGGTTATTTTTTTCACAGCGGTTCTCTCACTTGCCTAAARAAACCATGTAGGAGTTGTCGAGCAAAAAGTAATTAGTGTTTTCTCTGCTATGGTGTCTAATTGGTTTYACCTCCACTGACAGCCCTTCAAAACTACATTTTGGAGCCAGAAAAAATTAGGCTGAATGTTATTTGGTTGAGACTATGGCCTACTTCCCGTACACACATGACAACCATAGGGATGGGTTCCTGTAATTCACTTTATGCTACAAAACTTAAGATGTATATTAACTGCGTGATCAAAGGTATATTTAGAGACCAATAGCACTCCTAATAAATGCAGAAAGCTAGATCTCCAGTGAGCAAGCACAACAGAGAGATTTCATTCATTGCCAGAAATGAATTTATCCCCAGCTGTCACAATTTGTCTGATTGCTTATCTGCTCACATGTGGCTTTGCTGTGCTGACAGTTTACTCCTCTTTCACAACACATGATGAAACCAACACCTCCTGGAGATAAACAACTATGAAAGAAGCTAAACTTTGATTTAGGCYAACAAGTTTCCTGATCTCTTGTTGATTAAAAAAAAAAACCTACCTGAAAATATTACCCGAACACAAATTGTGCTGATGGTGCTTTACTCGCTGCTTTTGAGSACAGCACATTTGTGGCTGTTCCTGCAAGGATGACTTCCAGCCTTTGGATCCAGAATTTCCTTACCTTGCGTAATGAATTGGAGTATCAGGGAGCTCAGGCTCAGCATTAGCCTCTAAAGCTGGTGTGTATCAAAMAGACCCATTCCCTAAGCACTACATCACAGTTAAATGATCACGTAAAAAGACACTGTTACACAAGTTTACATGACTTTGATATCCTCACACTAAAGTGAATTTTGTTCCTATTCTCCAACCCTCAAAATAAGGAGTAAGTTTAAGAGAATGCAATTAAGCAGCTTTTTATGCTATAGGTCACCTCTTCAGCACGTTATGTTCTCCTGACTGCACTCGGGTGGCTTTCTTCTGACTTATCTCACTGACCTGTTTTAGGTTATCATATTTTTCCTCTTAYCTGTTTTCAGTCAGGGTTCTGCAGCCATTTTTCTTGTTGACTCCACAGGGTGTCACACCGGCCACGATCCAATGGGATCTGCTATCTACCCATAGCTTTCTTCACAAACACTCCTCCTTGGTGGAACTCAATTACCTAGGAATAAAGCCAAAAATTATAGAAATATAGAGCTGCTTTCTGCCTCCCAAACAATCTCCATTTGAAAATCAATTGCCATTTTTTGTCATCATAACAATATATAAATTTGGCTTACCACAAGAATATCACCTTTTACCAGGGCCTCTTCTGAGCCTGTATTTCTCTGCTAGTTTTCTGAAAACAACTTCTGTCCATCTCAGTTTCTTACTGTTAACARAGAAAAAAGCCTTTGTTTATGCACTTAGAGCTTCATACTCCAGGCACTGCACTGTGAAACTCTAAGCTTCAACCATACAATCCCCACCCAAATAATGGAAATTCGTACATCTCCTTTCACTGCTTCCATTGCAAGTTCTTCATTCACTTAGTTTTGCTSAAGCTGGAACTATGCACAGGTTCTCAAAGGGTGTGTGTTATCAATTGAGTGTCCTGCATCAGCATACTCTTCTTTTGAAATCTCGTTTAAGTGCTTTCTGCTCAGCACCCTTTTRCAGCACCCTTTGTCTAATGGTCGGTGTTCAGGCACTGAAAATCCACTCTACATCCATGGTATCCAGCCATGGCAACCAGATGATGACCCACTTATGTTCTATGTCTCTTTTCTTTTACCACTTTACTGCTAGCTGATTTATTTTCCTCACTTTCAAAAAAAAATAAAAATAAAAATTCTGTGCATGACACCACATCAAAGACAGCATTTGTGGCAGTCCTGATTTGTGACAATTATGAGAATTTTAGGCAAAGATTATAGATTTTTAAATCCTTGTGATTAATAGAGAGCATTAATGTAAGTACTAGCCAGTCAGGCTTAAATTCCCATCTTCATCATCCCTTCAATCTGTGAAAATCTCCTTTAAAACCTCACTGCATTCTCATGTTCTCTGAATAGTAAAATGTTCAAAGGTCCATCCCATGGGATCACRGGCATTGAACATGCTTTAAGGAGTTCAGGATGGGCCAATGAAGTCCAAAAAGGCTGCAAAAGCCATGGGCAAAGGCTAGTTTTTGGGACAACACAGTGGGCTTTCCCCTTTTTCCAGTTCTTAGCAGAACTGGAAAATATCTTAGAGATATTTTTAAAGCATGTGTAGAAACTGTTATGTATTTGGTCRTTAACATTGAGAATAATTACCAGTACTCTAGACCAGAAGAAAAGAATATTGGGAAAAATATTAATTTTTTGCAGATTCTGAAGGTGGGTGGAAACAGGTATTTCAATTTCCAGCTAATGAYAGGGCTCCAGCCTTCTAGGAAAAAAATGATACTCATACATTGCTACCCCTTTCCTCCTTGGAAAGAGTTGCTGAAGAATGCAGAGCAACAAGAGTTAAAAACCAGCCAGGTCAGGAATTGCTCATAATTATATCCCTTTCATCCTCAGGATATTAGTTTTAAATTCTCTCACTGGGTCCTTTTTAATCTCATGATTTTTCTCCTACATCTCATCACCCTTGAGAGCAGTGTCAAAGACACAAAATGTATCTTTTAACATGGCTGTAAGTGGCTTTTCATGGAGACATAGATAATAGCTTATCTGATTTATAGGACAATTTTCTTGCCATGGGTTTGAAAATCTGAAGAGATGGAGGATCTGTTCCTCCAATACTTTACTTCATGCACCAAGATAAGATAGTTCTATAGGAAMGAATATAAGTCAGCCTAGTCCCAAAACAGTTGCATGACTTTCTAGAGATGAAATACAATAATTCACCACTGGAGAAATTAAAAAAGAAAAAAAAATCCTTCTTCGAATTGAATTGCACCTTTCTCCTCCCTTCCCTGGTAACAAAATCAAAAGCAGCAGCTTTTGCTACCCTTGGTTACAGCAAAATGCTATAATCATGTAGCTGCARCACTCACAGCCAGCAGGAATGAATTTGACCTTACAGCCTTTATTTGCTCTTWATACACATACACCTGCCAGCCCTCCTACCCTTCTCCATCTCCAATTTGCACCTTTAGGTCTCACATGAAATAAATTTAATACCACATTCCCAGTCAAGGAGACCTGGAGCTTTATTTCAGCTACTATACAATAATAGTTCTACTCAGMATACAGGTACATTTATTACCATAGGTTTATATAGGACATGCCACAAACCAGGAATTTTTAAATTTTAGGGAAGAGTGTTAAAGAAACAGTGTGAGAAATTGAGACTTACAGCTACATGATTTTGCAGACTGCCACACTAACAAAAATGCAGCTCAATTTTCTTTTTTTTCTTTTGCTTTTAATTACATTGCTAGACAGACTGAACAGCTATTTTGCAGTATCATGAGCTGAAATTTCCTTCAGGCCACATCTTATGCCTTTCAGCTCCTCTTGACCTGCAGAACTCTAGCAGCTTCTCAACATGGACTCTCATCCCTCAGCTGTTACACAAGACATGTCAAATTAGACACTTGTGTTTCCTGCCCTGCTGATACAGTACATTTACAGAAAACTACAGTCAAGCAAAGGCCAGATGACAATTTCAACAAGAAAAAACAARAAGGAGTTATTTTCTCTCTCAATCCAAAATCACTTTGTGGCACTTATCTCTAGGCCATGTTCGGAAAGCTAAATTACAAACAAATTCAACATAAATGCTTTAATGAATTTAAATGCAATTTAACAAGACAAAASGTCCAGCAAAGAAAATCCCTGTGGAAAGGATATACAGTGTCTTCTTTTACTGTTCTTTAATCATCTGTTACCAGAGACATTAGACAGAGCAAAATAGATAGAGCAAATAACTACCACATCTTTATATTCTGGAAAAACACATTACCATGTTTTTCTGCTTTGAATAATGGTGATGATGATGATAATAATCCATGAAAGAATCTTCTAAAGTGCACTAAAGGTAAGTGACAGAAGAAGAAGTCTAGTATGTGAAATTACTGAAGGAAGARGCAGTGAAACACAAGGCAATTGACTGGATTAAGTTGTTTCAAGCCCTGAAACCATTTGGATCACACTACTCAGGATCCAAACAATAATAAGTAATACCAAGTGTAACATTTATATTGAAGGATAGAGTCTATTCTTCCTATAGAAAATGATAGAAAATAATTTCTACACTTGTGAAAGGCCATAAAAAGAAAAAAAAAATCAGAAGCCATTGCTGTTTGAGAAGGGGCAAAATCGGTTGCTGAAAGAGAGATGTGTGGGATTCTTCTTTCTCACACACTGAGGACTTTATAGGTCAAAACTATCACTGAGAATTGACACAGCAATGGTTCAAGGGATCCAAAGAGCTCACCCCTCATGGCTCTTTCCCCACAGCAGAAGCCAGATGAAATTGCTGTGGCACTGCACAATTGTCTCTGCTCTCATTAGGATGATCAAAAACCAACTCCCACAGCAAAAGTCTGGCTCCTATGCCTGTTACTGAGTATCTTATGTACAGATTTATGTGTGAATTAATAATCTTTGCCTTCAACTCGGGATAAAAGCCTTTTGTACCTTAGTCTCAAGAGATTTCTAAACTCAGACCCTGCAGGCAATGAGTGCCCATTTCCCCSGCTTCTCTGGTGAATTACTAAAGCTGATGAACAATATTCTGGCAAAAATGCTGATTCAAGAGAACGAGCAGTATTCCTTGGGAACATGTTTATTCTGCTAAAACCCTGCTCAGAGGCCAGACGGGCAGGCACTCCCTGCTGTCTGAGCAGCTGGCCAGCTCGCCTGGCACCCTTCCAGCCTGGCTCCCCGCTGGCCGGGCAGCGCGCCAGGCAGCCGGACTGGCAAAAAACCTGAAACAAATTGTTCTGCTTTGCCTGCAGTTCCACCATGTCAACAAKCTATTCCAGCACGGGATGAAACAAAATGTCAACACCCCAGAATTTTCCACAAAAGCAAAATGCCCTTTTCTGGTCAATTTTAGTCATGATCTGTATGTGCACTTTTTTGCCTCTCCGCAAAAGTAACTGTCTTACAGTATCCGCTTGTCTTTCCATAGTTTTATAGATCTCAATTACGAAATATATTAGAAATGTATTTGCAAATATGACTATTGCTCTAATTAGTACTAGAAGTCAAATGCCAACACATTTTGGGTCTTAATAAGATGAAAACAGAGTTCAGTAGATAATTCATTCTCAAAGGCTCCTACTTTATTTATGTTGCTCTATCAGCAGTTGTAGTCTTCTGCCCAATGCCATTCATTCTAAGTTTAAGATAAAAGCTGATTCAACTATCAGGTTGCTCAGGTGGTTTGTTTATTTTTGGGTTTTGAGGGTTTTTTTTTGTATAAAAAAACCTGCATTCTACTGCACTTCATTTATACAGAATCATTTATTCAGCAAATTTTGGCAGGAGAACTGCACCTGATGAATCCAGACATTTTTCTAAAGATGGGAGCTTCTTTAAAGCACAAAAGCAAAATTGTTGTCCTTAAATTACTGTTTTTAATTTTTAAGCCAAATAAGTTTTCTTCTCAATAGACAGTAACAGCCTTTAATTGTATTTTACTCCAACTCCCTTTATTTCATTCTCTCTTCAAAATSGATCAGGAAATTAAAGTGCAGAAATCTGATCTATTCTTCATAGGTAAAWTGTAGGATTATGATAAAGCACAGAATTACTCAACACAAACATGGTAAAAAAGGAAAGTATGACTTTTGTGGAGGCAAGTAATGCCCAACCTGTCTCTTTAAAAATTTTCAAGGAGCTCATGAGAAGGTCAAGAAAGGAGATACTGTTAATGCATTTCAATTTCTACAAACCTTTCAATAACCTTTATCTAAGTTATCTTGGGATATGAGAGATGATTATCTGATGAAGTTTGAAGAGCTGAATAAAGACTGCTTTTATAATAGAAAGCCAAAATTATTWGAGGTTACCTTTGCTGGAGCCTGTSTAATTCAATATATTCCTAAATGACYTAAAAATAGCAGAACAGTAAGGAGTTTCTTTATTATTTGGAGCACTCAAAATTGAAATTGACTGTAGAGAATTGCAGAAAARCTGTACCATCCTGTATGAATTGGGATAAGGAGGCACATCAAGTCCAGTGTCTGCAAATGCAAAACAACCTACATGGAGAAAAGATGGACAAACTATAAATGATGGTGAGGCTTAAATTAACTCCCTCTGGCCAGATCAGTCATTTTAATCACCTGCACAAAAGCCATTCTCAGACAAAGAATCAACAGCA